GACAGTTCCCCTGGCACCCCTGTGGTCTTGGATTTCTGGATGACACGTGCACAGCCAGAGGATGAAGCAGGACCCATCTACTTCATCCAGGATGTTGAACTCACCAGGACGCTGGGAAGAACTGGTCAAACCAGGCAAACACGACTGGTGCCATGCGCGTATTATGACACGTGTGCTGTTCAAGTCCTAAACAGACAAACCCACAAGCCTCTGGCGTGTATGAAATCAGATTACTCTGGTGACACTGACGGCTTTTACCACCCTTCACGCTGGAATGAGATGTGTTAGGAGCTTAAAGCTGTAGTGGAGCCAGGACCAAGCCAATTCTTCCTGTTAGCACAGATACCTCCATACAGCATCAGAAGAGGAACACTGCTTTTAAAGATAGAAAAATGTGAATATAAATAGCTCCTGCTGGCAGCCCTGCTCCTGAAAGTCCTAAGACATCACTGTTGGTTCATTTTCTAATAAATATTCTCAGAATTACGAGCTGGAATTTTCAAAATCCATGCAACATGAAAGAAGACCAGAACCTTAATACCTTCCACTTCTGTCACCTGTCCTCCTAAACGTGGTACCTTAGAGTAACGCAGCCGGTGGCTGAGACTACTTCATCTCCAGAACAACTCAAGTGGACTACCCAAAACTTCACTGGCACAAAGACGAGCTCTCAGGCACGAAACTCCTCTGAGCACAAAGTATTTTAACATTTCATGGTAACTTCTAAAAGCAAAGGCAGGTCCTCTGTTACACAGGAGAATGAGATGAAGCCTCTAAGCCATCATTCTCAAAAAATAATTTCTCTTTCACACTAAACAGTATATAAAGCCCTACTGTTGACAGCAAGGTCTGCTAGAAACTGCAAATGCCTCTCACTCTTTGGGGTTTTTTTAAGCCCTATTTCCTACTCATTTCAGAGGAAAAATTACTGAAAAGTAACACATGTTTTCTCTTCCTCCCTTTAGAAGAAATCTTCCATTATTTTATCCAGCAAAATACAAGGCACAAGGTTCAGTGTATTTGATCTGGTTTTTTTTTTCCTTTGTTTGAAGTAGTAGGTACAGTTAAATTACACTTAATGAGATCTAAGTGCATACAGATTATTGACCCGAGTTCTGTCAAAAGAGAGGTGACACTTGCTTTGATAGGGCAATAAAAAAGCTGTTCTGACACCAACACTTCTGATGCTCGCTCAAACGAAATACTGTTTCTGACTTTTATAGAGATATTACATTGCTTCTAGTTCTGTACAGAAGTCAACCCCAAGTGTTTCCTTAAAGAACAGACACATAAGGAATTCTGTTTTCTGAACTTTTGGGAATACTTGTAAGATCCCAAAGAACGTGGAAGAAGGAAAAAACAGCTTTGTGAGGTGTGGTCTGGGGTTCGTTTTGGTTCTTTGGAGTCACTTCAGACATTATTTCAGTATCTACCTGAAGCGTTTTACAAGTTAACAGAGACTCGAGTGGCTGGGGCACTACAGAAGGCCAAAATTAAAACTGGGT